AGTGATCTTGAATTTGGAGGATGAGTATATAGGTGGCCGGCCGAACATGGCTAAATACTGGATCATGGTGCAGCAGAGGCCTAGTTATAAGAAGGTGATTGGGAAGCATTTCTGTGGCTGGAGGAAGCACAAAACATTCGTGAAAACATGGTGCATAGTTCACATCAGAACCATGCTAAGGAAATTCTGATGAATTATGCATGGTATTCTTCCCATGCTGTAAATGGCTCAGTTGCATTAGATTGGAAAAAGAAAGTAAAAAGAGAAGAGAATATAGTGTATGTACTTTTCTTTATACATTTTTTTTAAAATCATCCTTCTTTGGAGGAGATTGAGCAATAATTGATACTATATCTGGAGATCTGTTCTTCTCATGTAGAAAATACTTGAAATAATTAATAGAGAAGCATATGTATACTTTATTTATTGTAGGTCTTGCAAAGCTTTCTGATGGCTAACTTTGCTGAAAAATTGAAGTTAATTTTGATGCCAGTAGACTGAATAAGAAGGGGTGGCAACTTGTAGCAATATTCAAATTGGACCGAAAGTTAACCGGATCGGGTTAACCGCACGAACCTGTTAACCAGTTCGGATTAACCATTACTTGGCGTAAACCTGTATATGATATGATTCGTTAACAAGGATAATACACGGGTCAAGTTAGTGTTGAATACGGGTTAACTTATATATGACATGACAAAAAATGACTGATCTTTCTTGTTTCTTAATGGGTAGTATGAGTTCTCGGTCTATCCATTTTCCAACACAAGACAAATATAAACATGTTGAAATACTAATGAGTCATGTTACATGAGTAATTACACAGATTAACTATAATCTGATCAGTAATTAACACAAATTACACAATTACGAAATCACATAAACGACTCTAACAAGAATTGCCATCCTTAAAGTAAAAGATTCCAGATGTTGCAACACAGTTAACCCTAATAACTTTAAACAAGTAAACAAGAGCAAAAAAGAAAAGGAATCACACTCTAGTAAATCATAACGAGGATAGATAAGTGGTACAGTAAAATCTTATTACAGTTGAAACACCCATTTGTATTCAGTCTGAACGTTGCAAAAGTACCAAACAATACATAAATAATTTTCATCCTCAATAACTAATCAGAGATGATGAAAAGGCAGATATGAACACAATTAACCTAACAGGCAATAATAACATAATAAACTAACCAATTAACTCTACAAATCAACCAGAGAGATGCAAACTTTCTATTAATATTACAGCTCATGGTTACTATATTACAAGAGAAGATAACCTAATAATACAAAATATAAATCATGCTTTCGAGATTAATGCACGCCATACAATCCTATAATAATAAAAAAATTATAATAAAAAAGTCAAGGGGAACATTATGAAGGGGGTTCAAAATTGATAAATGCCTTTTATATATCTTAAAAAAAATCATTCATAAGCCTTATAATGTAAATAAAAGATGACATACCTCTTTGAGGTGTTAGTCGATGGATCAATATTTTATAAGAGCACATCACCAGACAGGAGCATCTTTTTCATGAGGTCTTAGTACTATAACTTCAATTCCAAGACTTGAACATTGAATAAAATTTCATTTAAATAAACCCAGAAACAAAAGAATTGGGAACACATTGAGGTATAAAGCAAAAGTAGCTCATCCTACGAATGAATGTTGATTAATGGTGATGTGAATGCTGATTGACATTATTCCCAGCTTTCTCCACCCTATAGCTTAAATCCTCTGAACAATATGAAGTACTAAGCTCATTTGCTACATGTCCTACGCCTATGCCATCTGCTGTACCACATCCGGAGTTGTTTCCAGTACATCCCCACCCGTTTCGGTCACTGAAAGATGGGGTCCTCAATTTTGTATTATTCCAGTACTTCTGCTGCTTGAAGTATCTCCTTCCCAAATCATTCGAGGATTCTCTAACTCGTTTAGATGAATATTGATTGTTTGCACATGGACTGCCAAAGTCTGCCAGATTGGAACCAGTTGTGCTTGGAGTGCTTTCTTCAGACTGAGAAGTTGCAGGAACACACCAGTCCGGTTGTCCTCCTGCAGGTTGATTACCTGATACATGATTGACGGTAGGATAAGGTGAAGGGTCTTTCTTATGTCGGGGAAAGGGGGGCAATGGTGGAAAAGGCTGAAAAGGTATGCCAGGTGCAACAGCCCAAGTCCCTACAGTTTCAGCATGTGGTGTCCCATACTGCCGCATCATTGACAGTGGAAATCCATACGAGACAGATAAGCGAGAAACAAATTTCTCTTGTGGATGCCCTATAACTGCAGCAGGACACTTCAAAGGACAAAATGATGACGAAGCAATAGATGAAACCATAGGGGTTCTAATGTAAGATGAAAACCCAGGAGGAACATCCTCAAGGTTGATCTGAGCTCCATCATTTTGCTGAGAGTAATCATGCACACTGCTTGAGCAATTTCCGTCGTCGCCACTCACCCTCTCTAAATGCAATGCCACTTCACCTGTCCCAGACAATGGACTAGGTCTATGCAATCCAGACTCGGTCTTCTGTTCTTTGTTCTGCAGTGAACTTGAATCAGGGATTGTCTCTGCTGGCTGATCCCATCGGCTTTTACGCTTGCGAACTTTTGTCACACTGGTTGGGCATCCACCTGTACAAGGTGCAGAACAGTCCTGGACACCTGTACTCACAGAAGTCGTTGAAAGCACTGATTGCTTGATACTATCTATAGTGTCAGTAGACCTTCCACTTTGATCACGCCAATTATCATGTGATGTGGATAATCTGTTGCAGTTTGAACCCCTGTTAAATTCCATCTTGCTATCATCCCTGTCTACAAAGCCATGTCTTCTGAGATGTCTAGGGATCCACCTATCTCGAAAGTTCCGTGCTATTTGGTGGACCTGTAAAATACTCAACCGATTTAAACTCAGAGTAGTTATATTCATTCATTGATGCATCAGGACACATATTATAGAAAACATCAAATGAAGCCCCTAAGCAAATATTTCTATTAACAGAAGAACATACTAAATGATTAAGGAATCTAAACTGATTATCAAAACAAGACCTGTTTGTCCTTGTGTTCTGTCAATGATAGCATTGACTCCATAAAGCTGCAGAGAAACAAAATTTTCGGGAAATAAGCAACACAGCCAAAAGTTAAATATACATTTTTTTTTTTGTTGGAAGTTAAATACAATTCAACTTGAATTAAAAAAAGATAATCATAATATGAGAAGTGCTCCCATTCATAAAATACAATGCAATTAGAAAAATTTGTCCAAAACACTTCCGTTCACTAAATCTGAAACCAACTTCCATTCTCACATGGCCACCCAATAAACAAGAAAAGAAAGGAGAAAAGAGAATTAATAAAGGATATTCAATGAAGAAACAAATAATTACCTCTCCATTCCAGGGCAAGGAGGACCTCCAGTAATATGTTCCAACGTAAGTATCTGCTTTACAGCCAAATATTCTAGGACCTGCGAGGATAACATTAGTCAGCAGTCTGCAGAATGCCAAAATATTAATAAAGCAATGTTCTCTCTATCAATTTTTCTTAAATCCCTGAAGCCACTCCACATGAAAACACAGAGAGAGAGAGAGAGAGAGAGAGAGAGAGAGAGAGAGAGAGAACCTTCAGAAGCTTCCGGAGGATTGGTATCTTTTTGAAGTCTTCTCTGTACTTCTTCATTATGTTGTGTAGCATTCTCAAACCTACCCAAAAAATAAATAAAAATTGATTCATCAATTTGAAGCAAATGAGGGCACAATTAATTAATTCATCCATTCCCAACCCAAAAAGGGTATACAGATAAGCAGAAAAGGCAACAAAAGCAAGGATACACACCATTTTTATTTATTACATCAATCAAAACCACCCGTGACCTTGTTTTCAAAAGCGCATCAAGGATCATCGAAAGATCTCGATTGCTGAAAGAAAGAAAGAAAAAAAAGGGTTTTTACTGGAGAACTGTCAACTAAACACTTCATCTAAACGACAATAACTGAAACTTGTTAAGTGAACAATATTACGACACATGACAAGAAAATGGAGTAAAAGATTTCAAATAACCTCTGAATTGCTTCACCATTGCCACTATCACCTGATACTGCAGTTAGGAACAGAAGCTTCAAGTAGCCTTTAGTGGAATCCTGTAAGAAAAAACCATGCATACATGAACTACCAACATAAAAGACAACCTATAAGAATAAAATTTAGAAAAAGAGAGGTTGTCAAGGCTAATTGCTTGCAGAAAAGATTATGATCATTATTAATTCGACACAAGAAAGGGTTTTGGAAAATTCCAGCAATAGGCTTCAGAAGTAACATTCAAAAGGAAAATACTAAAAAGAAAATATGGTGCAGTGTGCTCCGTAGCAGAGATGGACCAGCACACAGGTTTCAGAAACAAAACCAAGCAATGCAAGGTGTATTATGACAATGTACAGGTCCATAATGCTCCAATACAGAATAGAACAATAATATGACAAGGAAACCCACAAAATGAAGTACATTAGCAGATAGAAAATGGCACAGCTTCTTACTTTCCGTTTATTTATCCCTCCATCGACATCCAACAGCTCATTAAGCTTCTCCTCCACTGCAAGCATTGAAGAGCATCAAGCCTCAATTAATCAATTATCCATCACTCTTTTTTTCTAAAAAACAAGTATACAAAGAATCCCTTACCTGAACCTTCTGTTAATCTTTTGGGTTTGATAGAAAGCACATGAGATTTGTTGGCCGCCACTTGAATTTTGTTACCACTTGGGATAATCCTCACTTTGCCTTTCTTCACAAAACTGGATGAACGGGAAGTTTTCACATTAGGACGCACTTTAGAAGAAACCTGCCTATCTTCAGTGGTGTCAGACTTGGACTTCCTGTTAGCATCAATGCCATCAGATAAAGACTTGCTAAGAACTTTTATTGGAGAAGCAATCTCTAGTCTTTCAAATGAGCTTGAGGATTTTTCTTTAGTCTCATTTTCCCTTAAAATCTCCTTCAACTGGTTGGACAGAAGATGGTAATTTTTGTCTTGAGTGCTCCAGTTCCAGTGAATCATGTATATGCGAAACAGCATATTCAGATGGGTTCACGAACTCCTCCCTTTGTGTGGTAAACTCCAATTCCCCAACAGCAATTGTTGACTTATCCATTTCTTTATTTGTAGATGCACTCTCCACCTTTTCAGATATACCATCTTCTGGAATCATCACGGGCTCAATATATTCTTCATCTGAATCATCTTGAATGATGACTTCACTATCAAGAGGATCACCACCTATATAACCCCGACATTGAGCTGAGCCACAATAACATTTTTTGGCAGCAGCTCCAAAAACCCTTACATAGTTGTAGTCAAATGTCACCTCTTCGCCCTGAAAAATAATTATATGGACATAGATACAAAATGGTGAGTATGAACACAGATCAATGACAAGGAAAAGTAGATTGAAAGAAGAAGATAAAAACAAAGCAAATTAAAATAACTGATAATATAATCTTTCCAGAGAAGAAGCTTTACAGTTGGGACAAGCAATACAATCGTTAACTCTAGGAACAATCGATGACAAGGGTGCTAAAATGATAAACTTGCAAAGAGATGACCGGTAAAAAAAGTTTAACCCAAAAATTGCATACCACAATTTTTTTTTTTGCATATGTGGACGGATTTCTTGAATTGCGTGCTTATAATTGGAAATGACATAGTAAAGTCCCTAAAAAGGGCAGCTGTGACTTAGTTTAACGATCTATCTCATATAACACATCATCAAACTCCAAAACAGAAACGTCAGAGGATGCGTATGTTTCATAATTGAATAAAATGCAGCTACATCAAATGGCTCATCCAAAAAGGAGCTAAATTTATTCAATAACCCCACCTAAAAAATGTTTACCCTTTATCTTATAAGCAACAAAGTGAAGCCCTTAGTCATGTTCAGCTTTAATAGGATTTAAGGTAAATAAATGTGGAACTAAAAATTGATTTTTTCCTGCTTATAAAGGGTTGGAAGCCATGCAAATTATGTTTATGATGCAATTCCAGCAATCAAACATCAGGATCATGCCTCTAACAAAGAAATTAAGCATGAAAATAACTGTGCAAGGCGCAATCATACCTTCTTTATATCTCTCAATGCAAATAGTCCTATGCAAATCTCTCCATTCACCATCCACTGTTGAGAACAGGAAAAAGGGAGTTTAGAGTATAAAGAAGAGTAATAGTCAAACAAAAAAATGAGCTTCCTTAAGCAACAAGCACAGGAAATGATGTAATGTCGAATGCATCCCAAAACCAGGAAAAGAAAAAATGAAAGGCCAAATATTAGATATACGTGGAATGGTAATAGGATACCCAAAAGGAGTACTTCCTAATCTCATGTCCCAATCCTTATACCGTAAACTTTACTCTAGCTTGTACAGATACAAAATGAATGTAACTGCTGAGAAGCGACATCACTATCGAATCAATGATTCATACACTAGATCAATGTAATATCCCATAAAATATGCAAATTACAAGTAAGCAACATGCATAATCTAGTATAAGGTTGATCCAAAGAAAAATATAGAATAAAGGAAATGGGTCACTTATTATAACAAAGAACATGAAATCCATTCATATATAGTTTTTCTAAGGAATTTATACGAGACTTAAACTTTCATACATTTAATACAAAGGAATGATTGAAACAAAATTGATCGTATGCAGAATATGCCTCACTAACATAAAAATGTGACAAACATGCATCACTACGTCCATGCCTAACAGTCCTCTTAGCAGGATTTCATACAGCCCATTCCTAAACAAAATATAACCCATTAATTCACCACATTATACTTACCCAACAATTATTTTCAAAATAAAGGTCCAAAAAATGGAAATCATGTGGAAAAGGACAAAAAAAAGTAGGAAACAATCTGCAAGAGAAACTAATCAATTAACATATCCATAAAATATATTGTACAAATATGGACTTCCCTTAGTGGTATATCCAAATTGGCACAACTCAACACCAAAGTCCTTTGTAACTAAGGGGCAATATCCCTTATTGAGGCAGGGGGAGGGAAATCTGATTGGGCTACAAGCCGTTATTGCCAAAAGTAAAAAAAGGCTCATCCAGACCAAGTATATAACAAAAAGAATCTAACAATCTTTATAAAACTAATTTGCTCATATTAACATTCACCTTTTCTGTGCGACAATTAGGATCACAACTATGGTTAATGAAACGCCCCAAATTTCCCTTTGCACATGCATCAATTACCTGAAATAAAAGGAAAACTCATCAATAGCGCAGTAAAATGCGACAAGCAAGATAATCAGGAAAAAAGAGAAAAGAAATGGCAGTATAACATTATATACAACCCAATGCGCAGATTCAAAATAATTATCTTATTTTCACATAAGATTTGCAAAGAACATATGTCCGGAAAAATTAATATAATTACATAACTTTTTTTAAAAATAGGAAACAGAAGCTTAACTTGATATAACCTAATAACTATTAAATTAATGAAAAGGTATAGTCCAAATGTTGTTATGCATCTGCAAGTAGGCCACATTAAGTCAATAACACCAATCTGAGTATCACATCATGCAGCATACTTATGGGGCTACATAGCGACATGCAAATTACAAAGGACCCAAAGATACATGAAGACTAAATATGTTTTAGAGATGAAAACCTAGAACTTTTCACGCTAATAAATCAAGAAAAATACAAACCTCACTGCCATTCAATGTCATGAAGTAGAAATGTCTGTGAGCCTTTAAAGCATACTCTTTTTGCCGTGCCTCATAAGCATGTGTATCAAGCACCTGTTTGGACGATGTAGTAAAAGATCTTAGCAGGTAAATAAAGGGTAACATTCTATCTGATTGCCTGTGCATATACATATAAGCATACATAACACACACATCGCACACACAATCAAACACTGAAACCAACAATTAGAGTACAAGAACAGAAGTTGAAACCACTCTGAATATTTTAACCCATTAGCTGTGACAGATTTTTACTTCTTTTTATCTTTTCTTATAAATTGACATAAGCCCTCATAGGAAGCCACAAATCCGCTCACACATAAATTTCTATCTCTGAAAGTTTTTCTTCCTATAGATAACTTCAAGATAAACTAAATCTGCTGAACTGAAGGAAGAAATAAGCTGCGTGCCTCATTTTGTAATTTTTTTTTTTTCCAATCACTTTGTAATGAGTGATGAAATTGGTTTGTGCAACAAAAAGAGAGCCCTCACCCACACTTCATTGTTCCACGTAATAAATGAATACAAAAAACAAAAAAAACAAAAAAATCAAATGGAAGGCTGCAGCTGATACTTCCTAAAGCTCAGTCATGTCATAAATTGGTGAATTTTCTTACATTCTAGAGCCCTGCATGTGCAATGCATCTGAGAAGACTATACCAAAAGAAACATCTTTAGAAACGAAAGATACTTGAGGAGAACCATCTTAGAAATGAAAGATACTAAAAGAAGAGAAAAGAGTAAAGTGGTTCAAACAAATATGGATACTATGAGAGCATTAGAAAAGAAAATCTAATGGTGTAAGAAGTGAATTTCAACTATCTGGCATGATGTTAGTGCTTCAAGGTTTAAATGTTATAAGCAAGTTAGGGTTGATAGGTGCATAAAAGCTGGCGTCAGAATTTGGTGTGAATCAGACTAGTTGGACTTAAAAATAAAAAAATAAAAAAAATAATCAAGTGAGGACATACCAAAGCTGGGTGTGCCTTTATATATTAGCATTTATGATTAAAAACCAAAAACACACATCAAAGTAATTTTAGCTTTGTATTCCAACCAAAGCACTAAAAGTTAATAACTTCTCTACACTGAATTCACCATTGCATTAACCAAACAAATTGAGAAAAAAAATAATAATTGAATTTTGTCAATTTACCTCTCCAACATATTCAATGAGAAATTGCCCTTTAAATATATCATCAAGCAACCTGAGCCCATAACCCTTCTTCCCACATCGAAACTTCTCCAGTTTGGCATATCGGCGTTTTTGGAACTGCAAACAAATCATTTAACTAAAACAATTCCCTTTGCACAATAAAACAAAAATTGCCATAAGGAAAAGCTAAAATACCTGTTGATTTGAACAAAGGTCTCTACAAGGACAGGCTCCTCGAATACACTCAATGTTAAGCATTCGATTAAGGCAATCATCTCCACAACCCAACTGGCCATCTGAAGGTGGTTTGCAATGGCAAACCATTATCTGATTAAATTGAGAAAAAAAAAATGAATTAGGAAATTATGTACACTAGTCGGAAAAGCCACAATTCTCATCAGATTTTTACAGTACACATTACTGATGAAGGCAAAATTATGACTAGAAGCCTTGTAGAAATTCATGCATTTTTTTTCCACAACAGATGAGATAAGCTTTCAAATTTAGGGTACTGTCAGGATATAAAATACTTAGGGGGGAGTAGGCCCGGTCCACACCACACCATTTTTCTGCAAAGAATAATAGTTTACACCCTGTTTGAGCACATCTCCATTCGTGTGTGTGTGTGTGTGCATGTGCCCGCTACAGACATAAATGACTAAAATAATCAGGTTAAGAAAAAATTTAAGTCCGGTATAAACCTCGTCAATAGTCTGAGTTTTACGGTTACGATGAAGGAACTGATTAGTTTTGATGCTTGCAACATTCTGTTGGGAAACTGCAATGCATTGAGACCGAAATAAGCATTAGAATTAAATCCCAGATACGTGTAAACTTGCATGTCCATGAGCGTCAATGAGTGCGTGCGAGAGAGAGAGAGAGAGAGAGCAAAAGTTGAACCCTATCTTACTTTTATCACAAATCAATAACATATACCTGTTGGGCGCCGACGTTCCAATTCTTTATAATTTAATCGGGTGACGGAAGCATCTTCGTCACCTGACGCATCTGATATATCCAACTCTGCATTAATCTCTGAATTTGACTTCTCTTGAGGGATTGAGCAATCAGCAAAGGCTTTATCCTTGTTATCTCTACAGGTCCTACAAAATTGAATCGAACGTACAATATTAGAATAAAGTTCCAAGGAATAATCTTAACAGAAATATTTCCCATGTACGCCTCCATAAAATAGATTTAGAGATTAATACATATAATAGGAACAAACCACACATTTGTCTACACAAGCAACATTAGTAGATAGAAATTTTATTATGCCAAGGTACAAAGTAAGAAAATACAACAAATGGATACGATTATTGCTATTAACAAAACTATCAAGAAAGACAACAAATCATACCAACCTAAGTAGAAAAACAAATCTGAGAAATTCGTATAACTTTAGGGGACGGTTGGTTTTGTAGGCTTAAAAGCTGCTCCAGTTCAAGTTCCAATATAAGGAAACAATAACAGACCAACCATCAATATTTTGGACCAAACAATCCCAAAAACTCAAAGGATCTATTAAATCAAAGGTCAAATACCTCTTTTTTTACGTCAAAGTGAACACCCTTTATCCTAGTGTATTAAACCATAGCTCTAAATACCATGGCATAGGGTAAACTCTAATGATCCTATAAAAATACGGAAAACAATATTTAAAAGAAAAACATATGCTTAAATTATCCCCTTTTACGGATTCTGTATGGTTAAATGAGAAATGAATGGTTTACCATGTGCACTTTATTTCATCTATAACATCTGCAAGCTCAGCTGGTATACGCCTCCATTTATGACAATCATCACAGAGCACCCAAGCATTACGCAGCGGTGCATACTGCTTATCTAAGTCAACAGGTACAGTGTCCGAGTTAGGAACACCTATGCATACAGCATCCTTGACAGAGTTGGATTTTCTAATTTCATCCACTAAGTGATCATCTGCAACATTAAAGCATGTAAAATCAGCTCAAACATGCATATAATAAACAGTGGAAACAAAAATAAGAAGGTTGGATGGAAAAGAATACACACACACACACACACACACACACACACACACACACATATATATAGCATAGACATGCATAAACAATTTTGATAACAAACAAGTACCTGATTCTGGAAGACTTTCCACTTTGAAGGCAACCTGATCGCCAACAGCCTTCTCCATAGCGTTCTTCTGATTAACAGACTTCTTTTGGTTTTCCCTCAGTCTATGATAATTACCTTTCTTGCTCGCTGAGCCACAGCCTCTGGACCTGCCCTTCGGAGGCTTCAGTCCCTTAGTTTTTGAGGATTGTGATTTTGATAACCCTAAGCCTACATCTAGATTGCAATGTGTTTTAGCTTCTGCACCAATTTCAACTTCGAGAACATCTCTAGAAATTCCATGATCAGTTTCTCCTGACAAACGCAAGGGCTCCAAAGATGATTCCATGTCGCTTGATGAATTACTTGAAGCATTTGCACAGGTGGATGAAGTGAATGTCTCACTAGGGCAAAAATCCTGACTAACATTCTGTCTGCGTCCATCTTGTTTTGATGGTTTTTCTTTATTTATGCTTGCTGGACACGGTATACCATCTTCCCGAACACAATTTTCCGCATGAGGTACTTTATGTTTCTTCTTTCCTCTCTTAGTGCTAATAAAGTCTCCAGAAGCAGAAAAAGCCTTGTCAGAAGTCAAAACAATACCATTAGAATCTTCCAGTGGTCTTGCCTCAACATCTGCATCCGGAACTAAATTGGTTACTTCTGAATCAGGTGAAGTTCCAGGATCTCTATAGTTAGTCCCAACAGATCCTCCTGATGATACAGCAATTGTATGAGATGAACCCCCAGGAAAATTCTCTATCACATCTTCAGCTGAATTCTCTGTAAGAACAACACTCTCCAAGTCCTTATTAGCCAGATCTCCATCCAGAAGAGGAGCATCTGGACAAGTTTTATCCTCCCTAAGAGTGGCTTCTTTATTCCAATTACCCTCAATGCCATTCTCTTTTTCAACAGAATTTTCATATGCTGTGTTATCAACAACCTCAGGTACTCTGATATAGAAAGAACTTTTACCCATTTCTTTCCCCAATTTAACCTTCAAACGAACATGATTAGTTGAAGCACGGCATTTCCCCCTTGACCCTCGTGAGTTTCCACTAGCCCCACTTGGATTCCGTTTTCCACTTCTTTGGCCACCCCTTCCTTTCTGTGATCCTCCTTGAATCAGACCTTGACTGACCTCAAGCCTGTTACTCTCTTCAAAAGATTGTGTAACATTCCCTAATAATCCCCAGATAGAAGAACGAGCTGGTTTGGAAAGGCAGCTCCTCTTCCTTCCAGCAGCCTTGAAGACAATTTCAACACTTCCAAGCGGGTCTAACACTTTAGATGTGTTCCTGCCTTTCCTTGGAGCCCTTTTTGTCTGAGTCTTGCGGCTTCGGCCGCTCCTTCGAGAAGACAATGCAACACATTTGGTGTTAGAAACACAATCAACTCTGACATTATCATTTCCTTCATGATCCATCTCTCCATAACGGTCAAATGAAGTGCTAGAATCAACATGAGCAGGAGAATCCTTATCTGGTACATCCAGCTTCTCAGAAGAACCACTGTTGACGATATCAAAAGGTTGAAACGATTGCATAGAAACAGATTTCTCATGAATACTTTTGGGGGCTAGTTCAGAAGAACCTTCCTTCAGATTGGAGGCTTTTTCCTCCAGTAGTAATATCTGGGCACCAATTTCAACCTTTATGTCGGTTGTAGCATCACTTTTCTGTTCTTCAAACTCTGTTACCCTTTTGGCAGTGAGAAAACCAATAATCTTACCATTGCTCTCGCCATTCTCTTGGGTGCAAACACTTGGTGAATCTGACACGTGTGAACCTTCAAAGGCCCTCTGGCAACCCTCTGGAGGCACTATTTGATTGTGCGCATCAATATGGCTTTCCATCTCAACAACCTCTGTAACACTATCAGCAGAGGGCCCATTGACACTGTTATTGGCAATCCCAAAGGTTTGACATGACTGCATGGAAACAGAGTTCTCAATAACGCAGTCAGGGGCTACTTTGGAAGAACCTTCCTTAGAATAGTAAACATTAGCTTTTACAGGTAATATCTGGGTGTGAATTAAAGCCCTTTCATCTGGCAGAGCATCACTTGTCTCTTCCAAATACTCTGTAGCCCTTTCAACAAAGGAACCGCCATTAACCTTATCACTCCTCTGATCATTCTGTTGAGTGAAACCTTGTGAAGGCAATATTTGGTTGCACCTCGTCTCAACAACCTCTGTAGTCCTTTCTGTAGAGAGACTATTCAGACCACTAACACCATTGTCCTCCATCTCTTCATTCTTCCAGACACAATTACTTACTAAATCACATGCATATGATACTTCCGAAGGCATTCCACCATCCCGTTTAGGTGATGTCCTCTTGCACAAATCTGCTTCTATCCTGGCCAAAACAACACTTTCCTCACAAGCAGTTTCAAAAGAGGAACCAGATATGATGTTGAAACCCTTCTCTTCTTGTTGGGAGCTTCCACAAGCTTCCATGTCAGCTAATTCTGAGGGAATTTCACAACCCTGTAAAGGAGAGACTAGTTCATGGATATCATTCTTCATCTCTTCCGTAACTTCCCTAACCCCTTCAGAAAACAGATAATTATCATACCTTTGCTCATCCTGTTGGATACCATGTCCTGGTGAAACAGTCTGAGGTATGACTTCCAAAGGGATTTCACAGTCCCCAAATGAACCAGCAGATCTATCCTCACCTTGGGGCCCACCTTCCCTATTTGAGTCATCAACATTACTCTGATTTTCAGTCAAGCAACATCTGTTCAGCCCCCATTCCCTGGTCAAAATATTTCCCGGTTCCGAAACATTAGCATTTTCATGCTCACCCATCAAACCATCTATATCAACATCTACAATCTCAACCCAGCTCATACAACCAGCATCAGCATTGTCATTCCTAGACAATCCCAGAGACCTATCTGATATACTGATAGGGTCCACATTAGAATCAAGTAAAGACTTATCGTCCGAGCAGGAGGGCAGCTCAGAAATAGATTGCACCAAAATCTCTGAGCCCATCTGCTGCTCTGTAACAGACTCACACAAAAGACCGTCAACAAAAGCCGAATTTTCACAAGAAGCCATCCTAAACTAAGCAAATTTACCCATTTAACGCAAACACTGTATAAGTGTATATGATCAAAGAAAATAAAATTTGACCCTGGCAAAGAAAATCAACCCCAACCCAATGCAATGCACCTCCAAACCAAACCCTAACTCTGCTTTCTATTCCCCGTTAAATAACACCTTATCCAAAGCAGTCTGCGCACAAGAGAGAAAACCCTAAAATTGCATTCCCTTGACTTCCTCTGCACAAACAAAACCCCAAATCTAAAAATTGGCGAAGTAATGCACATACACAAATATACGCCACACAAAAACAAACCCACATACATACATACACACAACACGCATACATTAATCAAAAGATCACCCAAACAAAAAATATAGAACAGCAAAAGAGATTAGATAAACATATACCTGCGCAGGGAAGAAGAGACTGAGAGACGAAAGAGACCTATCTATATTAATACAAAATTGGCTCTTCTAAATTTTCTTAAATTTTTTTTTTTTTTGGCTTGCTTTGTGTTTGTGAAAAAGACGAGGGGAGAGAGAAGGGGGGGGCGGGTTGGTGGAGTTGTGTTTATTGTGAAGCGAAGAAGAAAACGGTTTAAAGGGGGAAAAGAAACTTAGATAAAATAAAACTGCAGAAGGCTCCGACCGGGAGAGGGACGGCTTTTTATCAATTTGATGGACGATTTCGCCTTATACCAATTCACCCTCCTCGGTTTTGTGGGGTAGGGCTTGGTTTTTTGTAGGACAAGTGTCCTAGTTAAGGGCACTTTCGCCATTCACACAAACCAACTATTTATCGGTTGCGGA